AGAGAGAGAGAGAGAGAGAGAGAGATTACTGGATTTAGTATTCAAACCAATGATATAAATTATGTTAAAAAGCAAAATATATTATTTAAATATTGAATAATAGGATTCAATACACGTATTGTCGGGTTATATAGAGTGGTGTATGTGATGGGGAAGGGCTACTGAACTGACCTAAAATCACACATTCCTTCCCTAGCCTTACATAACAACACATAAAACCGCTAAACATATACACTGTATACTATACATACACTAATCATATATTCTGTAACCGAATATTCTGTCATTTATATAAATTTTAAAATTTTAATATAAATCTAACTTATTTCCTGGAAATTATTATAATATTTTGCAAAAGTACTATAATTAAAATTATAATTAAAAACTTTTAATTTAGAAATCTGAAATATTTTAATTTATTAACTTGAAATGATTTATTAATTCACTTTATCAATATATAAAATTTTTACTATTATTAACCTATTGTATAGAATGAAACAAATATTACATAATCACTATTTGCACCAAATAGTGCACTGAATGTATAAAATAGTTAAAATTTTGTTACACTTTACACAAAAAAATAAATAAATCAATGAAAGCAAAAGTACGAGAATTTCTCGCAACAAAAAAACATGTAATCAATTGATTGCAATGCGTTATCACATTCAGTATGTATTGATCGCAAACCTGCAATAGTTATCCTCCATATCATTGTATGGAAAGTGAGTCCAAATCAATACTTCGGGATCCGTTAGGAAAAAGTGTTCGTTGAGTTTTCGTTGAAACCTTCCCGACGGCTCCGTATATCCGGTTCCCCACGTCGTGTCGATCAGACGCCAGGCGCTCATCAGAAACACCGCATTCCACGTGTGGGTTATGTCTTCGCCTGCAGTTGTCATTGGGTTTTGACATTTTATTAATTATTTAAACAATTATTTAATTAACAACTGATTGAATATGATTTAATTGATTAGTGATTATAAGTGATACCGGGTTTGAATTGATGTCCGGGCCGATAGTCCTGGCCTTTGGCGAAACCCTCGATCTTCTTGACCCGAATGCCGGCCAAACGGCACATATCGGCGAATAGTTGGCAGTAGTCCTTACAGACGCCTTCACCGCATTTCAGTATCTCCTCCGACGACATATTGACGCCCATATACTTCCAGTCAAACTTGATATTAATAGTAATCCAACGGAATATAGCCCTCACTTTGAATAAATCGTTTTTAGTGTATTTGCATATGTTTTCCACCAATTCTTGCAGTGTTTCGTATTCCGGTGTCTTTAAGGATCAAATTAAAACAAAACATTAAATTTATCGTATTTTTTACAGAATATTCTGTGTGCGCATAACGACAGACAGACACACACTTACATCGGCTACCCGTCGGTCGATCTCCCGAAACATATTGGTTGAGGTAATCATTTCGCGTTTGAGACAAGGAGGGGGTCGGGCGGCGAACTCCGGCGATTCGTCGGTCAGTATATCGTTGTCCGTCTGTACGGAAGCGTCACATTTGGGCACTAAGGGTGCGGTCGATGAACCAGTGATGGCCGCAGATAATGGTTTTTGTTGTACATAAAGCGAGAATAGATAAGGACTATAAAAGTTGTCGCAATACATGGTTTTGTAATGTGTTTTTTGTTGCGGTCACACAATATAATATAATATATCACAAAATTATATAACAATTATTAATGGCTTTTAATTTTGATGAAAGTATTTTCAACGAGAGAGAGAGAGAGAGAGATTACTGGATTTAGTATTCAAAACAATGATATAAATTATGTTAAAAAGCAAAATATATTATTTAAATATTGAATAATAGGATT